GGAAGCAATTGTAGATAACTTTGGTTGGCTATACCCTATAGGCCAATGTTTGTTAGACCTGAGATAGGCGGCAACATGCCGCAGCCCTATGTATTACAAACCTGCTTTGTAATCTAAGGGCGCAGTTTCGAGTCTGCCTAGTAAGCGTGATGGAAAAGGCAGGATAGAGTTTCGGTTGACCACTTCGTGGTCTTTTCTAACCGAGACCTTCACAAACCAAGGTAACACGATAGAGTAAACGCTAAGATGACATGCACATAGCTTGATTGAGCCACCCTAACTGGCACGAGAACACTAGCCTGTTGAAGTGAACGCGCATTACCTAAGACATGATGTCTGACTTCACCGTTACAAAAACGTTGTTACCACGACACACAAGCGATCCAGCTCAGGTACCCATTTTCGAAGAGCGAGTACCAACGCATGTCATCCACGCGAGCTGGTCACGACTCGCTTCCAAATAGCAATAGCACTCGAACGGATGCATTGTAAACCATGTCCTTACGGAGAAGAAGACATCCTGACGACGCCACAAGTATTTCAGGTTGACAAACACCGACCGAACATTGTCAGTGTGGAGCGAATCTTTCTTCTCCATAGTGCCATCAACGGACACGCAGCTACCCAAGTAGACAAACTTATCCACGTGTTCAAACTGTGTGCATTTTAGGATGAGCACGGGAACTTGTTGGTGCTAATCCCCGAGTAGCATCTCACACTTCGATGTGACGAAGCACCTTCTGTACCACAGTGCTTCAATAGCCAAACGGTTCAGAATGCTTTGCCTACACTGCGAGTCATCAACGAGTGAGACGATTACTCTGAAGCGCAAATAAACACTTCCACATCCGCCATTCATGTTTCTTGCGCCGCGTTTTGTGCACACTAGACAATCCATCCTTACTAGTAGGGTTATAAGCTTGAATTTTGTTTCCCTCACGATTCCGATTTAATGAGCGGGAGTGCAGTCCCGATTCTTCCCGAATGAATGTGGTGTATGCACACGCGCTCTCCGTGGCGTAGCTATCGTATCCTTTTGTCTAACTGACTAGCACAAATCGACGGATTCACATGTGTTTCGTAACGATGTCATCGATATACACACAAATAGTTTCCACCTGCTGGTTGCCAAGTAACACGATGCGGGCACCCTTGTTGATTACTCTTGTGATTGTGTAACTACTGCATTAACTGGAAGCTTTTCTCGCATCAATTTCTGTGTATTTATCTCGAGTGCATGCGTTCCTGAAAGTGCATTTTTAGCGCTTATATTGATTTTGTCTTCTCAGATTACGTGTTGATGTCAGCATTCGCTGCTATTGGGAATGAATCACACGCCTTGTACTACCACTCACAGCCTATTTTGTTATCTAACTGACTCATTGCTGACTGACGATAACACATTCACCGATGCACATATGCGCAACCCGTGCTCAAACCGAGCATCATCCTACTTGGCGTTCGGAAACGAACACTCGCCAGTTTACAAACTTTTGTCGCCCGTAATCGTAAATCTGTTGCGATTACCATGCGTCGCGCACAAAATGCCGCTGAATTGGGGATGGTTTACTTTCTGTTTCTCATGTAACACAATGCTTGGTGTGACCACTTACATTTGCCTTATGCGCCTTTGTCAGCGCGATATCCATCTGGCGATGGCCTGGCGCATAATCTGTCCAAATGTCATTGGAATCTTGGGCACAAGGATCTAGCTCATTTGTCCAGCTAGACTCGTCTATGTCAAACTCTGCATTAATATTTCAACGCTTATGCGTCGGCTGCTCATCGGGTTCATCGGTTCGTTCAGTAACCAACTCTCACTTGAAAATCCATTAAAGTTCATTAGTTGCTTCTCTGGAGCACCCGTTGTGTTCCCAGTTTGCGACACGCAATCTCAATTTTGACCACGATCTCTGTGTCCTGGTTTCAAATCTCATTTCGATCGTGGAGTCCAGCGCTTTGAGTAGACAGCATCCGACACCTGCCTGTTCTGCATATGTTCCCATTGAACGACCCAGCTGACCCTGGTTCATCCCAATGTACATCGCGGTCCAATCTTGTCATCGTACTTCCATGTGTAACCGACACTCCAAACAAGCCATCGCTGCATCCTCAGCCATTGTGAACGCCTTCAGTGAGAGCGGGCTTCGTGCTTTAGTGTTGAAAACGTCTATCGAGAACCTGTGCCCTCCTGGCCTGACTTTCATTTCGACTATGTCTGAGGAGTAATAAAAATCTCATTGAATGACTAAAAGTCAATGCAAGCAAACACCTCTTTTGAATAATTCCTCTTCGGGCTCACACGAAACTTCAAACTGGTGTATACAAGACAAAGTTTGGTGAAATACGTTAGATTCACAATCACTGTCAATTAGGTCACAGCTGCGGCGTGTACACAATTCCATGGGCCGGATGCCACAGTTCGATTAGGCCAAGATAGTCTTGAAGGCTGGGCGAACCGGTTCTACACACCCGACCCCGGTTCGTATAGTCGGATCGTGATGGCCTCGGCGGATTCACCTAACGCCTGCGGGTGCACTTTGATCGATCTGAATAAACATCAAGAACAAGGGACCGAATGTAAACAATTGTTTACGATGAATTCATCGTCAGACCTTTACAATCATATGGGTACAAGATCAATGGGAGTAACAGTGGTTTCGCTCAGTTCAAATGAAATTAGATCGCGTGCCAACTGGGGGCTTAAACCAGCAATAAACATAAACGATAAGCGCAAACTGGAGCAAAGATGTAGTCAAATGATTGCTTCTGGCCTCCGAATCGTCCATTTTCTCTGGCTAGGATAACTTAAGAGCTTCGATCCGTTTCTTTTGTGAGCACAAAAGCGGTTGATACAACCGAATACTGATCGCCTCAGCTGTAGCGAGGGTGCGGAGGCGCAGGCATTTCGATTTGTGTGGCGGAACTTTGTATAGTATCCGAAAGGCGCTCATTGGGTCGACTTCATGCCCACTATCAACCAGATGAGCCATAACAGAGCTAGTTATAGCCCCGGTACCGCCTCGACGCAACCAGCGTGGAAGGAGCTCATTAATGCGCTTTGACAAGTACCACGCCGTTCGACCGATGTAAGTAGCGCCACAGGCGCATTCGAACTGATAAATGACCGTAGAAGCGGTCAGCATCGGTCTTTGTTACAAATACGAAAGAGGGGTTTCGTTGAGAAAGTGCACTTGAGCTTAGCAGCTGGAGGAGTTGATTTAACGGCTGTTGAAAGACTTCTGGCTACACATTCAACGGCTGCGTTTCGTTTGAAAAGTAATCTTATAAATAGTTCTTTCTTCTCAGCTGTTGGAACCTGCACCGGGTCGAGTTTGTCTTGCATGTTCTTAAGAATGAATCGATCTGAATAATTTAAATGAAGACGAGAGCCATCATGGATGGGTTACACCCACCCGCAGTTCGGCGTGGTCTTCAGCTCACCGATCTAGATGTATTACTTCAGTCATGTGGGAAGTTCTGACCTTATAAATGCGACTATACTGATGATACTGGGTGTTTCCCCATAGAGTAACATGAAAGCGACTCGGTTTAACTGAAAGTCACCGCAACTAGAGCGGATGGAACTGTGACGAAAGCTCGCAAAAGCACTCTTCGGAATTGTGTGTGTTTCCTCGATCCAATGAAAAGCTCGGGGCTGAGACCCAATGTTTACAGGTCGACGCTCGGAAGCAGACCTCTTTACTGATTCACACGTTGGTGTTGGTATCAGATTTTAAAGTTTATGTCATTGAATGACCTATGGTTTATAAGTGGTTTAGCTTAAATCCTACTGGGTCAAGGTTGAGTTAAAATCAGCCTCAACTAGAGTGTGCCGGGCTTTACCCTATTTAAGTACCCGGCCACTTCATCAGGCGGCACTCGCCACGACCCATATTTACCAAAGTAGGGTCACTGATCTGAGTCCCTTGTCGGCGTGAAGTCACACATTGTACTTGTGCGTGCTCAGTTTGTTTGTCCATGGAGATAGGATCTCGCATTTGAGGTCAGGGTACATCAACAATAACAACATGCGTGGAAATCTTGTCTTTCACAAGTCGGCATTTAACTCATCATCCTCCTTATACACGTTAGGTAGAGGTGGAAATCACCTCAGCTATTGTGTCGCAATACACAAGAAAGGATGCGAAACCTGCACCCGAGACACGCTGGCTAAACCATCAGTAACGAATGGGTATCGTTACGGAAAGCTGTCAGCCGTATATTTTGCCGCAAAAAGTGTTACCTTATGCCTAGTAAATGAGATCGTGGTTGGAGAGGCTAAGCGAATGGGGGAGGGACAAAGAAACTCACAACACAAACGCCACTGAGGTCGGCTCTTTGCCATGTCAACAAGGGCATCCAGCCAAACAGGTTCAACGTCTTTCGGACCCCAACCAGGGAGCCTAAAGGCTCCAACCGAGGCCAACTTCGAACTAAGGGCCATCATTTCTCTTGATCAAGTCATTGCTTGGTCACCTCACCTCTTCTTCCATCCACACCCCCGGCGCGCAAACAGCGCACGTCGCAGGAGTTGGTGTACTGACATGCGCAACACGTGGCACAGCCATCGGAGCCTGGTTCGTAAAATAACGGAGCTGAGCTGTTCACTTCCTCTTCCTGTGCCATAAACAAGACGTGGAACACGCTCATCGCTCACACGGGGTTCCCACAGATATGAGCCAATCTAATGGGCCAGGTTTCACAACCGTACAGTAGGGTCGAACGTACAGCATTTAATTACCTGCTTCCATACCGTCTATTTGTAAGATACAATCACATTCGTTTAGCTTATTTGGCTGCTATCTCTTCGCTGCATCGGATCCGGGAAGCGACATCTCATTTCAGTTTGGTCGACCAACATGTTCCTCAGCTACGTCTCTGTGATATAACATTTCCTCTTCTTTTGCTATGTGCGTGCTTCCAAAAATGGGTCACACTAAAAGCTGTCTTTTAATGTCTTTTTATCCTTTAATACGTCTATTTATCTCACTTATCAGCAATCTGGGTCCTCAAACTACTCCGCATACACAAGCAAAGAACCACGCCAGTGGTGGATAGCCTGTTCCGAGGGTCGTTTGGCAGACATGCAACGACTCTTGGGACTCAATCCGAAATTGGTCAATTGGAGCGTAAGTTTTCTGTTTTTCTGCCTTGTACCAATTCGAATGCATCCCTGTTACACAAATTTCACTAGCTGCTCTTCTCACATACCAACTTTCAGAATCCTGTGGATGGAGTGAGTTCTCCGTTCAACTTCGCATCCTGCATACCTCTGTATCATTCCTCGGTGCAGTGTTCAATTTTTCATCTTCTCCTCTTTTCCTCCTCCCCCCCACTTGCCCAATGTGAACGACTTACGCTTTAGTGGGTGAGTTCACAACGCCTTTAGTTTGCCACATCTGCATTGCTAGATACACCTGATTCTTAACTTTCCTATCAACGTTTCCAATTTGCATAGCGTTACTTTGCTCTGCTGCACATACTTTGCCCCTCATGCGACAGATGGGGAACTCGCTCCCCTCTATTCTCCCAACACTAGCGTCCCGTTGTCAGCATAAATGGTTGGCGTTTGTAATTTCGTGTCATCGACGTACCATAACCTTGCAAACTCACTTTGACGGTGTTGCTCACGGATCTCAGTGCTTAGTGATCAAGGCGTCAGCCGTTAACCATTGGGCCTTGAGTTACACTCCCTGTTCAGGCTATCTCCACTTGATAAGTTCAGACGAGGACGTTACTGGTTAGTGCTGCGAGAGAACAACAGTGAAACCCCTCCACTCCCCTTGATCATGTTCTAATTGTACGCGTGACCTACCGTACGGCTGCGAAACATTGCCTATCAGATCGACAGGCATAAAGAGGCTAATTACGCTCGACCACTGATACCTTAGTAGTTTAGCTCATATCAAGTGAGAACACCGCATGGCCAATTAGCTTGTTCGCCCCCTTGTTTATGGCGCTGGAGGAGCAAGTGAAAAGGTAATCACCATTATTTCACCCACCAGGCTCCGATGGATTTTACGCATGCCAGCACACCGATTTCCGCAATACGCGTCTCGGTGGAAGAAGAGAAGAGAATGCCAACCGACGACTTGGTCAAGAGAAATGAAAGCTACCACTTCGAACATCGAGCGTAATAAGATTTGGTTTATTTTGACCCTTTGCTTCTTTTCTTGCAACCGTCCAGTTGCTTTGCATAGCGGTACAATGCTTGAGATGTTTCTCACTCCTAACGAGTAGGTGGAGTGAATGAGCGAACGGTTGCACGCGTTCTTGTTGCTTCCACTTAATGGAACCTACGGCAGAGTGAATGTGTCAAAGTCACACCTTTATCATGCCACGTCAGCCGTCTACAATGCTTTCAATGTATCCCACTCCTGTAGATCACCTCAGTGTTTGACACTATTTTCCAACCAAAATGAAAGCAAGATCCACTATGGATATTATTGATGAAATTGTTTCACATGTCATACTCGGGGGTGTACCGAACGCTGCGCTCATTGCTGCCACACGAGTACATAGTCCGTCGGTTAACCGCAACTCTCGTGACAGTGTACTGCCGAGATAGAAAAGTTTGTTTTGTTCGGCCACCCCTCTTCGTCAGTCTCTGCGAGTTACACGCTCTTTCCAGAGACTTCAATAGCACATACAACCCCTCATTAGTGGGAAGTGCATGGTGGATCCTGCTTTCAATAAACTAGAGGTTTGGTACCTCTTACGAAGTTAGCGTGTTGGGATGATCTTTCGTTCGCCCTCTTATCTCATTTTATGAAATGTTTTTTGACGATTCGAGCCTATCACATAATCTTTCTTACCTACCACTGACCTGCTAACGTACAGTTCTGTTCATGAAATTAGCAAATTCCTGTTCCAATCATATTTTTCTTTACGATAATGTGTGTTGAAAATCGTTCGTCACACATAATCGATTTATCTGACGCCTTCGATCACATGAACGGGTTTATCTGTTGTCTCATGAGCCTCCAACGTTTATCGACGAGCATAGCCTGTATATAACCACTGCCACACTTATTCTATTCGGTTCTGGTGAACATTGGTCTCGAGCATGTGATCCATTGGGTCAAAATAACAAAGATTGGTACATCCTATCCATTCGTTGAACTGTGTAGGCTATTAGAGGACAAGTTATACTAATTTGCCGCTTAGCGGGTGATTACAACCGAAGCGGCCGCACCTAAGCGCCTTTAGGCAGTCGTCGATACCCTGGGAAGCACTGGATCACTAAATTCATCCTCTCTAGATTCGTCAGCCCCGCCCACTTCCTCGGCAATATGAGGGACTGGACACTGTTGTGCGCCATTTGCCAGGAGAAACAGCGAAATTGCATTCGGTACTGAGCAGGCACTCGGTGTGACTCAGGGGTTAGTTGTACTTAGACGCTGCCCATCTCTGCACCCACGAGCTGCTAGGACTGCCGCGTAAACTATGTGAACCTTACCGCTACTTTGTAAACCGTAAAGAAAGCAAAGTACTAACACTGCACCAATACTCTGTACGGGATGCCTTTTGCAGTATCATTGGAAGCGTATGCTGAGGTACTACATGGATCTCTAATTCCATGTAGGAAAGGAGGAAAAGAACGTAAAGCACAGCGTCTGTTGACTACCACTACACAACTGATCCTTTACGTAAACAACACCTATCTCGAACTAAATTTCTTTGGTTAGTTGTCTAAGTTTGGCATGTGCAGTAGTGCTTGGGCAGCGGCCACGCTGCTAATCACATCACCGATCGGCATCTGTCCTAGACTGATGGTATAAGTCGAATGACAGACGTTGCACCGTGATTACCAACTCCTCACTGGACTGGGGAACTACGAAATGCCCACGGGTCCCAGAATGATAGACAATGCTGGCTGCTCGAATGGGATAAGTAGCGATGAGATCAGAGACCTATCACTTACCCATAAAGGTCACATTTGTGCGCTTCGCATAGTTCTGTGTCTACTACTTTCCGTGGTCCACACATTCCCGGCATGCTCCTCCAATGATGAGTCCGAATATACCATCACTTCTCCATTCTAACTCTCACCCTACTTGTCTCATGTACCTATTTGCACAGCGGCCTTTTACTCTTGACTGTCATGGCTGATCTTTCCTGCCCTCACTTCTTTTTCTTTTTCTCACGAATAGTGTACCTACAAAATTGCAGATTTCTTTGTTTTACGGAAACCTTACCTTGTAATAAAATAATAATAATAATAAATCACCAGCTGTACGCCGTAACGGCACTTCGCTGCCACGCGACCACCACCAGTCGCGCGTGGGCTGAGTATATCGCGAGGACGCCCGACCCTACGCGGATTCGAACCGGTGACCTATGGTTGCAAATCAGACGCGCATACCACTCGGCCACCGGCCTAGTGGTTATCTGGAAACACGCACCGAGAGACGTTATGCTCTAAACTTCTCTCTGTAGCGGCCCTCTCAACATCAGAAGTGTCCACCTTCGTTCTAGCAAGCATAACATCAACCATCTCACTGAATTTGGTCGCAACCTGGTCACGCACTTGTTGCTCCATTTCGTTCACTTATCTTCGCGGATTATGACCCGAGCTTCGAAATGCTACCCAATGTGGTATTTCGGGAACCTGTAGCAACAATCAAGCAATTGACTATTCATTCAAAGATGTTTCTCAGGTCAAGTGCCTTTCGGTGATCAGACAGGTTGGGTGTCAGTTTGATGTGGCGAAGTGAATAAAAAAAACGCCACGTGACATTTGCTGTGAGATTACCAGTCTGCATCGCTTGGATCGAAACTGAACGGTCATCCCTTCGCAGCATTTACCTTGGCTCTGTTAGCTCAACAGACATGTTATTTTGACACTTTCTATCGTTGAAGGGCATGCTCAGGAAACGTTTCTATTGCAAGAGCTTCCAGCTGCAAGTTCCGCGGTACGAGGTGCCGTCTCATGATTTGTCCACGACAAACTGGGTACGCCGGGATTGTCTCGTATCTTTCCTCATTCAGATTTGTGATGGAGGTGACCATGAATGACTCCGTCCCCTGAACCTGTTCCTGAGTGCAATCTCTACCGCGTGGTTAACTAACAAACCTTGTGTGTACGGGCGACACAGATATCCTTAAGTCGGACCCAGAGACTATGCAGGCACTACTGAACAGGCTGACGCGTATCACTTTACGCTTCCGCATGTGCTTTGCTCAATATGCTGTGCGCGACGTAATGTTGCAGGACTGTATCGATACGCCACTAGTTTTAACCATCAATGAACCGCCGCTGGAAGTGTTGCATCGGTTCACTTCCCTTGGTAGTTGTGTCACCTCTGGTGGTTACTTTACGTATCAGCAAATCCTGTGTGGCTTTTCAGAACATCGACCATCTATGGACACGGCGGGTTTTCAGTTTATCGGTGGAAGGTTAAGGTGTATAACGCCGCGATAAGGCCGGTGTTGCTGTATAGATCATCTAAGAGATCGATCGTTGTTGTCATTAGTGCTTTCGAATTATTGCTCACATCTGGTGGGAACACCGGGTAAGCAGTGCCGAATTCCTGCAGTTGGTATTTGGCAAGAAATCTTTTACTGTCTTACTGCAGTCCCCATTAAAGTCTAGTTGAATGCGTTTGCTAGTCCTTATCCTTCATATGCCCATTGGTCACCCTTCTTGGCATACATTCTAGACTGTCATTGCACCAAGTTGGATGGAACCGCGAGGTGAACAGTTCATGAAGGCATGAAGAAATGGGCTGCGCGACGTGGTCGGGCTTGTTCTTCTCGAATTCGGGGATAAGGGCCTCAGGATGGTTCGCATCAGCAGTTAGAGACCCTTTCTCAAGTGGCACAGCCACCGACTCAATGTAATCTCAACAGTCTAGTAACTAGACATAGAGCCAAGAAAACCATGGAAATCAGTGTATAAGAGACAGTCATTGCGTCATAATCGTCATGGCATGCTAGCTGAAGGTGGGCAACACACTTCACACACTTTGCCGCAAGAAAATGGAATATTTTGACAAAACTACAGAACCAAACATTTTTAGTTTGTTTGTCACACGCCGGTTTTTCTCTTTTTTTGTCATTTTCAATTTTTGTAGAATTAAACATGTGAATCAACACAACACTGTACACAATTCTTCCATTGATTCCGGTTGCGGGCCATGTCTTCAAGTGTCCTAAGCCATTGGCACTCGCCATCTTTGGGTCCCCATCCTGGAAGACGTACGGATGCAACAGCGGCTAGACACGACGTCAGCGATTTCATGTGCTGCCGCCAAGTGGAAGGCTGACCACCACGCGGTCGCTTCCAGCCAGGTCCTTGACGAGCGAATAGAGCGCGACGCGGTAGACGCTCAGGTGCCATGCGTAGGACATGACCGAGCCATCTTA